CTACATTTCATCTTTTGCAGGTTGGTATGAGTACATTCATCACAAATTTCCAGCCACATCTAATTTAGACTTTGGAAACGTTGTTATATAAGGTTTCATTACGTTAGACTTTATACCTACCAATATATTTATTGAAGACTACTGATATATTTATTGCAACACTATTGACTGTTATTCAGTGAGAATCTATGAAATTACGGTAGAAGTCTAGTGAATTTGCAAGAATTTTCTATTGCTCTATTGAAACCATGAATTGTCTGCACTCTATGATGCTGATCCAAATGACTAATATATGACCATGCACTCTATGATGCTGATCCAAATGACTAATATATGACCAGTCTAGAAGATGAAAAGAAAAAAAAAATGACTTATATACGACTTAATCTAAGTTTTTTTTAAAAAAAAATATTTTGGGGGTTTTTTACTTTTTTTTTTTTTTTTAAATCTCCTTGATAGGTTGGTCCAGTTAACCGCCCCTGTTAGTCCAGTTCCGGTTTGAACCGCTTCCAGCCTCATGATCGGTTAACCGTTCCGATTCGATTTCACGAACACTGGTTAGTACTACTAAATGAAGAGCTGCACTAAAGAATAAAAAACAAGAAAACGTATTGTACTAGAGAAGGAGAAACAAGAAGATGCTCGCCCTATTTTGTTGAGAACAATTGTTTCATTTGGGCTGGACCGTATTTTTATAATATATGGTCCATCTGAAAACAATTGTAACTAACAATCCACATGTATTTTTAATATAATTTTTAGTTTTAGTTTTCAATTTTTTTTTCATATTCATGATCTCGATGTTAAAGATTATATATTCTTTAAAAATTAGGTTTAAATTATATTTAAAAAATATATTTATTGCCAAGACCGCATTTCTACGGTATGTGGGTTGGCTGCATGCTAACCGCGTCCTTTTGTTTATATCGTGCATAAATGTAACATCTTTTATTAAGTAAAAATCTAAATTGCAAGTAGGGATATAGACCCGCTGAGTTCAAGTATGTGTTTTCCATATTTTCTTTTTTCTTTTTTATTTGCCTCTATTAGGCCTTGGCTAGAACACTTTCAGCTTGGTCCAGGCCGCGCTCGAACCAGGGTTGGCCGAGCTGTTGCCAGCCCTAGCCTCGATGAGCTTTTAGTTGGTTTTAAGAAGATAGTAATCCTACAATTTTTTTTTTTTTTTTGATAATAATGTTGCCACCGAAATTTCATGTAGAAAATCTTAGAGGTCATTTGGTTTGTGTGAAATGATTTACAGGAAAATATTTTTATAAAAAGGATTGTATATAACAAGGCCATTTACCTATAGTACAAAGGGGTCATTGTTGTTTATAGTATACGACATAAAATTTGATAGCTTTGGTGTGCAATAAAAGTTTGAGAAATTTTCCTTTGAACGTTGAGCTTGATCAATAAAATAAATGTACCTACTAAATTTCACATACCATGATCAAGAATAATTATGATCACCTTAAACAGTCTACTGAGAAAGAATTTCTCAAACATGGTTTTCCCCATTTTTAGAAAGCACACTTGAAACCCTGCGTAATCAATTTTGTATATGTGATAAGTTGTTTGATGAACCATATTCCAAAAAATGTCATAATGTCATACCGAATATTGAGATTAAATGTCATAATGTCTACCCCACTGCGCGAAATTTCAATTGTTTGTATGACAAGCATCTATAACATTCACATCCCATTGAGCTTTTTTTTAAAAAAAACATATTGGTATGTTTCTCAGCTGAATTTCAGATCTATTTACCACTCAAACCTCTGCAAACATCAACAGAGCATATAAAAAATTATGTAAAAACTCACAAAAGTTGGGGAGGAATCAAGTTAAGAAAACAACCCCTCCCCCTTATTTAAAAAAGAAAAAAAAGAACACTATTTCCCTAAAATTTGGAACAAAATTCAGCGAAAAAAGCAGATCCATTAAACCCAAAAGCTTTTAAATTTGGGTGCTCCATTTAGGGCTGGCAGAGGTTTAAGGTCTGTAATAGGTGCCTGAGACTCTGCAATGGACAATTTGGGAGAGTGGAGATATGAAATCGTTGGGTGATAGATGGGTTCGGGTGAATTCTCTAGCTTAGAAAGCGAGGTTCCATGAAGGTAATGTTGGGATATATCGGCAGAACCCCTGACGAAGGAGAAGGTTATGCAGAGAGAAATGGAAGTGCTTCCTTCCTGTTGGAGGAGAAGGGTTTTGTAGGGAGAGAAATTCCACCTGAAGAGCAGTTTTTTTAGAGAGAGATGTCTGGGATGCAAGCTTGAATTTTCCAAGTTATTTCTATCATTACCAATTGAATGGACTGGTTTTGATTCTCATTTGCCCTCCGATTTCTTTCTTGCCAAGTGTCCTAGATTGTGCTAAGAAAAGCGACCCTCGATCTTGTTTGTAAATTGTTTTTTGAACCAATTTACTAAAGGGTCTTGGTCATTTGATCCAGCTATTGTATTAGTGTTGACTTTGTAAATATTGTTTGGCGAATGTGAGAATACTATTAGCTTGCACAATTAGCAGATGTTTGTCCACTAAGTTTCTGTTCTTATCCATTGAACTAACTTGATTGGATGAATAGGTACTCATTGTTGGCCAGTTTCAAAAGTTATGAACTGAAGATGTCCTGTAGCTAGGGATGTCCTGTAGCTAGGGCTTCACTGGGTAAGGTGTTGACAATTGCAATTATACACCCTGTGTAAGAGTTATTAACCACCTAGATCAGAATGCCCAAGAAACAGGATGGTGTATGACCAATCTTATAGCATAATTTCTTTCAAGCACTTCGAGAATGCCTATTCATAAGCTGGCGGCTAGCTTGAGTATGTAGGATTATGAAAATACCAACAAATGAGCTTTGGTAGTATAGTGATGGTTAGGGTAGTGGAGCGTCATGACATTTTGAGTTACATTCCTATCACCGACAATGGCCTCCTTCCCCATCTCAAGAACAACCAAAGAGAATCAGACAACTTTCTTAATAGCAAAGAACCCTACTAGCATCTTTGCACGGTAGAACATGTGTTAATGGTGGTCGCATAACCACCAAATTTACTCCCATTATTAATAATATGTAGAAATAACTCTGAGAAAAAAGCATCTTTGCACCGTAGAACATGTGTTGACGGTGGTCTCATAACCACCAAATTTACTCCCATTATTAACAATATGCAGAAATTAGGTACAATTTGATCAAAACACAGCAATTATGTTCTCCGTCTTCCCAGAAATGAGATGTAATAACTTACTGTAAATTCTTCAGCAATTCGCAGAATCTAAAGTTCAATTTTGCAGTAAATTGCATCCTTCCAGTATTTAGAGAGTGCTATAGATTGCATTAGATCACATTCTTCTTCTTTTTTTCTTTTCTTTTTTCTTTTTTTTGTGTTTAGAGAGGTGCTTTTCATATGACAATGCAAAGGGCGTATGCTATTCCACCTCTCCGATTAACATAGAAGGAAAAGACAAATTAACATTTAAAAAGAAAATTACATAGAAGGAAAAAGAGGGGGAAAAGAAAAGGGAATTAATTTAAATTAGTTTGAGGGACTAAAAGCATATTAACAAATTGATTATTGGCTAATGATAACAAAAACCCTTTCATAGTTCTACAGAAAGCCCGAACTCTATATGTATGTACAATACAGGGATAAACATTTCAAATGTTATATAATATTGTTCCAAATTGGAAATCCAGATTTTTGCTAATCATGTGGCACTAAACCTATCCTAATTCTGGTTTAAATTTCTTCCATAGTTTACCAGGAATCCATTGAAACTGTACCAAGTCGAAAGTAAAAGATGGCAAACACTGCCGCCATTGCTTCAGAATTTTCATCCATAATTTAAATACAAGTGCATATTGAAGAAGACCAGACATCGTCCAAACATTACGGTCGAATTTCTCAGGCCAACTTTGACACTAAATTCTCTTCACGAGTGCTTGATGAGGAAATCAATCAAAGGTTTCATTTTTACCTATTGAAGAGGGTAATGTAGGAACCAAAACCCAAATGGCGGCATTGTAGTGCTAACCACTAATCAAGATGCTGCGGTAAATACTAAAAAAGTTGGGTTATAAAAGTAAAAGATTCGGGTGGTAAAGTGAGAGTTTCCTATATTATAGACTGAACATTGATTATTTGGAGCGCTGAGAACAAAAAGAAAGATGTTTTGATGTAATAACCTTGAACAGATCAGCCGTAACACTTTCTCAAAGTCTGGTATCTTGAATTTTGGCAAAGTATCATGAACTGAGAAAGATGAGGGCATCATGTTCACTTTTTTTATGCATTTTTTTCACCAGACCCTATTCTGAACTAATTAGGGCCTGTCTATCCAGTCAGACCAGGAACTTCATAGAATCACTCTGCTTGATCACTTCAAAAAGCAATTCAGTATATTTACTGAATGTTATTAATACTATCCACCCACAATCTTGTATTCACTCTGAGAGGACATGGATTTGAGTTTACCCCTGCCTCATTCCAATTAAACATTTAAGAACCATAATAATAAGTGAAAAAACTGTTACCTTAGGTGTCAAGCTTCTATATAACCATATTGGTCTTGACTTGTTTGCTTGCCCCAAATGGGCAACCAGGACTGAACCGGATGGACTAGCTTGATCTGGTTACTCGATTTAATTCTTTCTAAGACCTAACCATCATGTGATTCCTTTATGAATAGATCAATAGAATATCCACCGAGACTATGATCATTCTAAGACCATCATGTGATTCCTTTATGAATCGATCAATAGAATATCCACCGAGACTATGATCATTCTAAGACGAGGACATGCTAGGCTAGAGTTCTTCTGCCATTTTGGTTTGAAACAACCAATGGGAACTAATACGAAAGTCAAATGTTTAAAGTTTATTGCTTACACAAATTAAACTCAGATAGAGTTTGTCAAATTGTTAATACTGGTCAGTTTTTCAAATAATGGACCAGACAAAAACTGACTAAGTTCGTAATAGTCATGCATGAGCTAAAAGGACAAGCTCGGATGTTTTTTTCCCTCCCTGATTGCAATACATGAGATTTGAACTTACAACACAAGGTGTTAAAAGAGCTCAAAAAAAGAAAAAAAACCTGGGCTATCACATGTTACTCACTAGCTCTAGAGTTTTAGTAAACAAGAAGAACAAGGAGACTACTGGAGTATACATGTTCCCCACAAAAGAACTCGAAACTTTCAAACAACAGAAGGAAAACTCTAAGGAGAAGAAATAAAAGACACAATTGCAAGGAACAAAGACTGGAAGAACAATATGAAATAAATAGAAAGAGAAACCAGTTTGCCGAGGAGTTGGTTATAGAAACTCCAAATCCCCATGCAAGCGTGGGAAAACCCACTTATATCAATCAAGTCCAGGCTCCATGTACGCAACCTTCCTCCGCTAATAAATTGGAGGAAGAAAATTTTATCAAAGAGATACCAAAAACAAGGAGGCAATACAAACTACAAAAACAAAGTAGGAAGAGACTACAAAAGTAGAAGAAACTCACTCCTTAGAGTCCTATGTCCATGAATTATCAAAAGCAGCACTGGTAATGGCCTGTGCAAACTCCTGATAACTGATCCTTCCATCCCCATCAGTGTCTGCCTCCTTGATCATTCCTGTAAGCTCTTTAGCAGTCAAAGCATGGCCCAGTCTAGCCATTGAATGGGCCAATTCAGCAGCTGTTATATAACCATTTCCATCTCTATCAAAAAGCTGAAATAGAGATTGAAGTTGTTCATCTGTGTAAGGAGACTTAGCTGGTAGAAGCTCTGGTGCTACTAAGCCAACAAATTCAGAAAACTCTACAAGACCATTGCTATTGGTGTCAGCCCTTTGAATTAGGGCTTCGAGTTGGTCAGGGCTTGGTTTCAGGCCAAGAGAGCGAAGAAGAGAACCGAGCTCCAATTGGGTTAGGCTTCCATCATTGTTCCGATCAAAAGATCGAAAGATTTCTCGAAGCTCTGATAATTGTTCATCATCAAGTTTCACTGAGCCATCGGCCATGGTTATCTTTCCTTTACTTTTTGCCTTTTCGTTGTTTACCCACTTCTGTTTTGACTAAAAATGGAGAGGAGCTCAGAGAGTTGTAGCTATTGAAGAAGCTCAGGCTCTATGACAACAATGGTATTATAGTGGTTTTGAAACTTCGCAGTGGATTGATTTCTTCATCTTTTATCCAATGCCAACCGGTTTAAATTGGCGTTCTATGGGAAGTGATTTTACCACTGTCTCCTCTTGCTACTCCTTTGTTTCCGAAAAGAATTAGGGTTTCTCTGCTCGATATTGAGCTCTTTATGAATCTTTAGTGTTTCCCTCTGTTTTCTGTGTTTTGCCAGAAAGGAAATTCTCCAGTAACCACCTTTCTATAACTTTTTGTACCACTTTTACAGGATCTTTAAGCCTTTCACCCAACTTTAACGGGATCTATGACCTAAAAATGTTTCTCTTGATCTATGACCTAACCAGTAACAATTTTCTAACAAAATTGTAGAATTCAAAGGAAAGCATTTACCTTATTTTCACCCATCTTAGAGCTTCCTCTGTAGATTGATCCTTCAGCTTTAACCAAATACTCAATCTTTTAGCTTTCCTTTTCTGGATATCTAACGTAACTGTAACTTCAACCTTCTATCTGTGTTTGTATTTTGTACAAGGATTTTTAGCCCTCCGAACCTCTTTTCTCGCAATGTGAGGTCTCAATGGATATTTAACGTCAAGACCAAACGATCGTTTGAAAATGGCTTTGCAAATTCATTCAATGAACTTTCAATACAGCAAATTCATTCAACGAACTTTCAATAAAGTAAATTCATTCAATGAACTTACAATAAAACTGCAAAGTGTGCTTCGCCCGGTCACTTTATGCTACTCCTTTTCCTCGATCTTCGCCACTTTCATGAATCCTTAATCATCTGATTCACCTTTTCTCGTAATCTCAATCAAATATCGGAAAAAAAATTTCGAACACAGATATCGGAATTTTGTAACTCCCTTTCACTGTGCACTCTTTTTTTTCCGCTAAATGAATGACATTTCCAAGGATCCAAAACCAAATGCTTCGACTTTTGGCTCAATCTCTGGGATTTTAGCCGATCTTTCCGATTCTGCAACTCCTTTATGATCTAAGCTTCTCCATCAAGGTGAACCTTGAAATTTCCATGGATCTTCAACCATTTGGTATGCCTGCGATGTGTAGCTTCTTGGAAATGGCTTTCTGGTGAAAACTTAGGGTTCCTGTGTCTGGTTTTGGTGTGACTTTGATGGGGGCTAGGTCTCGTTCTGATTTGGTGGAGAAAATGGGTGACATTTTCGTCAACAACCCCACCGCCTAAAATAAGTATATAGAGAGAAGGAAGAGAGAGAAAGAGAGCCTAGAATAGAGAGAGATAATGGAGAGAGAGAGAGAGAAATGTGTCCGTGAAAGCACGTTTTGCTGCCGCTCTTTGCCTGGCAGACTCCGTCAAAGGAATGGAGGAAGAAGAGGCGCTTGCTCCCTCCCCTCAACTCCCCTATTTTAAATAGGAGGGGGAGAACCTAACAAGTAAACCTTAATTTTCATAGAATTACGACACTGCCCTTCAGATGTCTGTGATAGGAAAATCTCCTAGCAAAAACTGTGGGAAATCATGGTGGCCCACCTAGGAAAATATTTTTGAAAAATACAAGGAGAGCGTTGATTGAGGGTGAGTGAGGGGAGGCGGGCATGGGTTCATAGGAGTGACGAAGATTTATTTATTTTCAAATAATAATTTCTTTTCCATGATGATGATGCGTACGGGTGACAATGGGTTGGGTCCGGCTAGTCTCGGACACATATCCGAATGTACTCGGGTCTAGGTTTTGGACCCATACCTATACCTGCCAAGTCTCTGATCAATCTTGTCAGGTCTCAGGTTGGGTTGGATCCATTGCCGCCATCACTCACAGCTTCTTTTGTTGTTTTTTACTATCATATACCCATATTATTGGCATCACGTGCCATTAGATTTTAAGCCGTCTGATTTGCTATTTAATAGCTAAATATGACTAAAAATTCTTATTGTATATGATCATTAATCCATTCAAATGAATACAGCTTGAAGTATTTTATCTCCAGCAGTTTACAGGTACAAATCGGGTCTAATTGGATCTGAACCCATACCTAAATAGTGTTTGGGTTCAGGTTTTGAACCCAAACCCGACCCACGGGTCCAAATGTTGAACCTATACCTGGACCCGTATCGAGTATACCCGCCGGGTCCCGCATCGGGACCGGGCGCATTGCCACCCCTAATGATGCGGAACCCAATAGTCCACAAAAAGTGATACGATGATGATGAAATTTTCTTAATATTTAGTTGGAAGATTTTACAGGTTAAAAGAAGGCCAATGGGAAGATTCTCACGACTTTAGAGGTAGCAATTTGTCGAAGCGTGAGGACTGTGGGTAGAGAAAATTTACTTTTAGAAATAAAGCAGTTATTTAATAGGGAAATTTTCACAAAAGATCAGAAAAAATTGGGCATGACAAAACGATTTCTCTCCCACTTTGAGCATTGATTATGGGATATAATTGGTGATGCATCACTTTTAGAAAGTAATATCACGAATGTTAATTTTTTATGGAACAGGAGTCGAATTTAAATATTGGCTAGGTAAGCATAGTATAGTAAGAGAAGTAGTTATAAACTTGTAACCATCCATGGGGCGGTAACGGGAGGGCCCCAATTGGTAGAAAGAAACCCACAAACCGCTATTATCCTATCCTTGGTAGCAGGAGTAGGAAAAAGGAGTTTATCGCCCATTCGCCCTTAAAAGAAGTAGAAAAGAAGAAATAGGAAAAAGAAGAAATAGTAATAGTTTCATTATTTATCATCGTAAATAGAACAAATTGAACAAATCAGGGGAACGACAGGGATTAAACAAATCGAACAAATCGGGGAACGGCAGGAATTAAACCCAAACATGCGCTTAAACATTGCATTTTCTTTTGGGGTACTTTAGTAGGGAAGACAACCCTATCTATTTATTCAAATGGTTTAGGAGTTAGTTTTTTGAAAGTATTAGTGGAATGGTGTCAATAGGAATGAAAACTACGACGTGGTGACTAACATATGGGGGTACTACCACCACGACCCCAACCCTAACCCCATTCTTAAAGATTGCATACTTGGATGTAAAAAAAGTTGACTCTACAAGCTTTTGTTTGTTTGTTTCAATGTGTTTTGCCCCCCTCTTTTCTTATCTTGTAAGAGTTTGTATATTTTGAGATTATTTTTGTCATAAAGCATTAGATGTCAATACGGGTGGTTTGAAGTGTGTTACAAAGATTAAATTATTTTTTTTCAAATTTTGAGTCAAGCTACTAAAACTTACAACTACCTAATTTATAATCTAAAGGACGATAGTGATTATAATTTTGTAATTTTTACCTCGCCGTGTAATGATGCATTAGTAAGCTTAATAAGACATGCTATTGAACCCAAGCATACCTACCTATATGGAGAGGCAGGTTTTGGCCTCCGACTCCATCACTTTTGTTCTTTATCATTTTTTTTGTCATTATTTTCTTGATAGAGTAAAATGGAGGATTAAGATTTATATAACTAACCCTAAATAGTTAAAACAAAGCTCTGATGACAACGATGATGATTTTTAATCATCCTTTCAGGTTTTCAACTAATTGGCTCCATCAGTTTAGGAAAGTTGAACCCCTAATTCTCGAGTGAATTCTAAAATATTGTTAGTGATTATTGATGATTGAGAAGAGAATAATATTACATTATTTCGGGAGAAGACATGCGCGCCACTTGGTTGGAGAAGGTTCAACAACTTAATATAATTATGTTACAATAAGGAAGGATAATATATAATTCATTGCTTGTGGTGCGTTCTAGTCTTTGCCTTTAAACTTCCCGACAAACACATGCATGTTCCCTTTGGAAGAAATATATATATATAGTGTCTAGGTATTAAGAAAAATCAAGGGAACTACTCATAGGTGCATTTTAAACAATCTAATTGTCTACTTAAAGCGATCAAAATAAGGTGCGATTTCAAATCTTGCTTGAAGATGTAGTTTTGGTATAAATAACTCTTATAATTATTTTAAAAAAATTATGAAATTTATAGCTCCAAAAAATATGCAATAAGATAATCTTGAAAATGAATGGTCAAGATAATGTGTGGTACAAGATGAGGAATAGATAGACTACGCTGGGTGGGTCTGGCTCAAGCATCCCTATCATGTATTTAAGAACTTCTTTATCCATATGGCTTCTTTGGCTTCTCGGTCTGCCAAGATATGGCACCACCCCCATACAAGAATAAATAACCCAAAGTTAACCTTAAGCCATCCGGATCCTCTTGATAATCATAATCTCTATATCCCAAGACACTAAGTTCACTCACATTTCTATAGGTCAAGGCATAATTAATGGTTCTTTTTAGGTATCTCATGATTCTCTTAACGGCTTTTCAATGTTCGAATTTGGGGTCACTTTGAAAACATCCTATTAAACTTTGAGCAAAAGCTAGGTTAGGCCTAATCCCATTGTTAGATACACTAGTGACACCACGATATTTCTATATGGAACCTTTTCCATCTCACTTCTCTCATAGTCAGCTATTAGGCTCATATTGGCACTTAATTTCATTCTCTTCTCTATAGGTGTGTCAATGGATTTGCACTCACTCATCCCAAACCTTCAAGAACCTTGTTACAATATGTGGATTGAGATAATTAAATTGTATGGGCTGCTCTATCTCTTATTATTTGAATTCCCAACACATATGAAACTTCCCCCAAGTCCTTTATGTAAAAGTTATTTGATGGCAATACCTTTGTCTTCCTTATTAGGTCTAAGGTGCTACTAGCTATTAGAATGTCCTCCATATAAAGGGTCGTGAATATGATACCAGTCCCACTTGTCTTAACGTAGACACAATGATCATCTTAATTTCCCTTAAAGTCACTCTTTATTAATGTTTGGTGAAATTTGAGGAACATCTCTTTGAATCTTGTTTGAGTCCATATAGGGATTTATTGAGTTTAAATACTTGTCTTATTTCCCTTTATTTTGAATCCCTCGAGTTGGTTCATATAAATCTCCTCTTCTAAGTCATCATTCAAGAAAGTGGTTTTGACATTCATTTGGTGTAATACTAGGTCAAGGTAGGCGGCGATGGATAGAATCATTCTTATGGAAGAGCCATCTTAACAACAAGTGAATAGGGGGCTGTTTGGATACCTGAAAATATATTGTCTGTGAAATATATTACTGCCGTAATATATTATCTGCAAATAGATTGTTACCGTTTGAGTAGTATTTAGATGCAATTTGAGAAATACATGGCTACTATTTGGTTGTCAGGAAAAAAATATGAGAAATACATTACGAACATTTTACCGCACTTGCCTATAAACTATCATTTCTTTCTTTCTTTTTTATCACAAAATTCCACTGAAATGCAGAATTAAAATCATCACATTATTCCAAAAATATTTTCTAATAATAACATCATCACCATTCCAAAAAGATTTTCGAACAATAACTTGTATCATTATAAAGTCATCATCACACAATTTCTTATTTTTTTTGTATGTCTTTGGCACTTACATGGAATCACATGTCTTCTAACATGATTAGACTTTGGTTTCAACATGATAAGTCATTGGAATAATATGTTTGGAATAACATGTTTTTATTGTGATAAGCCTTATTTTTATTTATTTTTTATAGAAATCTTTCAAATGTCTATTTATATAATTTCAAACAAGCATTAAATTTATGATACCAAATTAAAAATCTTTATGGTACAAGGAGAATGGATATGCTAAGGAGAGAGGGAGAATGGAAAAAATCCAGATAAGAGAGTAAAGGGCTTTAAAAAAAAAAGTCCAGATGAGAGGAAGGGGCTTAAAGATAAAAAGTTCTGCTTAAAAAAAGAAAAATGCCGGTGAGAAGAAGGGGAGCACCTTTATGCAAACCACTTAGTAGGGTTCAAGAGAGAGGGGACGGGCTTAGAGAAAGAGGTCTAGATGACAGGAAGGGGCTTAAAGATAAAAAGGGTTGTTTAAAAAAAAAAAAAAAATACAGATGAGAAGAAGGGGAGCACCTTATGCAAACCACTTAGTAAGGTTCAAGAGAGAGGGGACGGGCTTAGAGAAAGAGGGAGCACCTATGTAAACCGAGTAGGCTGGTTGGCATGTTGAAGAGAGAGGAGACGAGCTTAGAGAAAAGGGAGCACCTATGTAAAGCATTTTATTAAACTTGTATAGGGCAGAAAGATCCATGCGAAAGATTTCTAAAGATTACCCGTCAAGCGTGTAATAGATTTTTCACCATTCATCGCTTAATGTGTTTCATGATTTTTTGAGAAATCTTCGTTAATCTCTTTCCATTTCTTTACTATAAAGTCTAACCAAACAGTGGAAAATGTCATATTTATAGATTTTCAAGTACCCAAAAGGTGGAAAATATTATATTTATAGATTTTCAGGTACCCAAGCAACCACTAGGTGTCAAAAAATCTACCCCTTCCTTGTTGGTAAACCCTTTAGCCACAAGTATTACTTTGAATTTTTCATTATGCCTAAATACCCACTTACATCCAATGACCCTACGGTTAGATGGTGGGTGAACCAACTCCCATAGTTAAGACTTTTTATAATAGAATTCATCTCATCTTCCTTCCCTAATTTACTTTCCAGACAAAACATGGCTTGTTGATAAGAAAATGGTTCATGATCGGATTCCTCACTTATTCTCTCGTAGATTTCTCCAAGTCAAGAATTTGAGCAGTCTCCTCACTCTCTCACTACTTCTAAGTCGAGGTATCTCTATATTAGCTCAAGTTCTTGAAAATAACTCTCTTTTTGGGTCACTTCTCTCTCAAAAAAATTTTCTTCAAAGAAATGAGCATCAAAGCTTTCATTTATATTCGTATTGGATGGATCATAGGGCACGACAAGGCCAGGTCAAAAAATCAAAAGAAAAAAAAGAAGGCCCACCGAGGCTGGGCTGAACAGGGCCAGCAATTGCCCTAGACCAAGGCCCTATTTTTTAGGGCGAAGCCTACCAGGCCGCCCAGCTCATTGCCGGCATCAATTCTAATGGGGACTTGGTGCAAATACGACCGAGCAATGATACAAGGCGTTCGTTCCGGTCAAAAGGGGTTAGACACAAGGCGATCTTACCACTCAAAAGGGGCTATTTGGCCCACTGGTCACGATAAATACCAAAAAGTAGTTTTGCCCGAGCTAAGGGTATTTTCGAGTGTCCAACCCAGCGACCCACACCTTACACTCTTTTCCTCATAAATCATTCTTTAAGCTTGCACATGAACCATCCAAACTTTTGGATCATCACATCAGCATTCAGGTTATCAAATGCTTTTTTACAAAAATACTCAAACCCACAATTCTAAAGCCGATTCCAGATTTTCGGATCAAGAAACTTATACTACTTGGGCCACTTGCCTTAGTACATCGAGTTTTTTCTTCCATGGAAGCAGTAGGGGCTGTTATGGATATCCAAGTTTTTTTAAAAAAAAATTCTCTTGAGCCACCAACTATGATTTGGAAGAATTTTTCTTTTCTTTTTTTTTTTTTGGTCGTAATCTCATAAATTTGTACAAGAAACTTCAACCGCTTTCCCATGTCACATTGAATTTCAAAGATCTTTTTTCTTGAACATTTTTGTTTCTCAAACAAATATTTTTCCTGTACCTTGAATTTCACATGGGTCTATGCCAAAGGATTTCCTGAACTGACATGTTCCTCAGACAACTATGATCTGGACAGTTTACTCCATATGCCTACTTAACAAAGAATTCAGAAAATTGTATAGCAACACAATATGCACACAATTTCCCTGTACTAACAACCTGCTTTGCATTGCGTCCTAAAAGTTGTGCGCCCATTTAAATAAATAGGGCATTCTCTAAAGTTGACGAATACATATAATTAACAAATTTCAAATTCATAAAAAAAAAGAATTCTAAGCATATGCACACCTAAGAGTTTGGAAGCATCAAAAAGAAATCTATAGTAAAATTTCAGTACATACAAGATAATAATATCAGAGAACAAATTTCTGAACTCCAAAACCATTACATAAGGCATTTCTTTTCTCTACTGTTTTACCTTCCCTCCTCTTTTTTGTTACTTTTTTAGGGGTCAACTCTAATGAAGGAATCACTCGCTAAGATCGTCTAGGGCTTGCATTAAGAAGACATCATCACCTGATCACAGGCCTGAAGTGCCAAACCAGAGAAAAACCTCACATCCACATCGGGGTCTTCGCTTAGGTCAGCCAAGCAGGGACGTACAGTCTGTTCCACAACCTATGAAAAGTACAAAACCATGGGAAGGTAAAATTTAAGGAAACAAAGTGGGAGAGCATAGCATGATACATTGGAGATGAAAACAGCCAGTTCATGAATCATGGCTGTCCTGAGAAATGTTGGATGGTGGATGCAGTAAGACCCATAAGTGAGGTATGTCCTATTTTTGGTGGGACAAACTCTTTCTATCACCATTCCTCGTTTCATAAGTCATTACCCCAATGAATTATCATAATCCATTGCACGTTGCAAACACGTTCTTTTGTAGTACACTAAGGTCCAATGGATTATGAAAAACCATAGACCATTGGGGCCACAACTGTCGGAATCATGGATGGCGATGGAGAGAGACCCACTAGAACATGACAAGACACTAGTTGTAGCTCCGCTCTCACCATCACCCTAATTGACTATGGTTGTCAAGCGGCCTGTGGCATACATTATGCAAAAAATTTACTCACTCAAAATAAAATAATTACAAAACTCGGTAGCAGTAATCACTTACAGACTGGTCAAGGATCGGAATGAGAGACTGCAACACCTTAGCCACATTAAATTTAATGTTTGGAACCCTGTGGAAATCAACATGTTTTTCTCTCATTAGAGGGCCAGCCAAATACAATAAAAGAAGATAATGAAGCTTTACAATAGAACACTGCAATAAAGACACCATAATCCAGTGGAACATGGTGCACAACCAGAAGGAACATCCGTTGTCCAATCCATAAATGGATAGTGGAGATCAACCTTACTGAGCGCCACTAAGGTATTCACCCACCTAAAGTTAATCTCCAATGTCCATCACGGAAACGAACAGTGGATGCATCTTTAGGGTACCACATACCATACTAAAATGGTTATGGTATACTTTATCATCAGGAAATACCTGTCCTTTGCAGCGTTGATGACCACAGGTAGGAGTTTCTGGCATGTGATGTCTGAACCCATAACTGGAGCGAGAAGAGCAATTGCATGAAGAATGGTCATACGATGCAAATAATGCTGGTTGTTTATCATTTCCAAGACCTACAAAACAAACACTCGAATTTTAAAAGGAGCGACGAAAAATTTGATACAAACTTACAAAGGGATAATATACATCGACCCACAGATTATCTCATTAAAGTTTGACAAGCACTAGCATCAGGCACATGAGCAACAAGAGTTCACTAAAGAACATGAGTTCAACAGGTTTTGGATCTTAAAATACAGATGAGAATGGGTATCTTTCTCCTGATGTTGTTTTAAGGGACATTCCTGAGAATCAGAATTCAAGGATCCAGAAAGAACATTATCTTTTGAAGAAAGAAAGAGAAGAAGATTATCAAGAAAAGAGGACACTTGACTCTTTTGAAGTCAAGATCATATACAGTTTCACAAAACAAATTTATTTCTTAGTTCTTCATCCTTTCCTTTTTTATGAATATATTAAAATCATTAAGTTTATATTAGTAAACCCAAAACAATTCTTGCACAAATCAACAAGGAAAAGAGAGCTATAAAATCATGGAGCTGAATAACAATCAATAACACACAGATCACCTCCATATACAACTAGAGATTACAGAACATGTTCAGGTGTATACTTCAGGTCATGCCTACAGAAAAATGTAGAGAATACAATAAATGTTCATGATATTCAAGTCTAATAAAGACCTTAATTATAGATGCAACAAGGATTCTACAGTCCACATATAGCAAACTCGGGGGTTTTGTGGTACTGAAGATTGTCCAAACAAAGGTCAAAAACTCAAATGCACTAAAACGTTTGAAATGTATGGCCCTCAAAGAGAGATTCATGTAAAAGACAAAAAAGGGCTTAAAACCTATGACGACGTCAGCTATCCTACATTTAGGACATTAGAGAACCAAAAAGGAGATACAAGGAACAAAAATATATATCAAAAGAAAAAGAGATACAATGAACAAAAGTGATACAAGGAACAAAGAGATATCTTCTCAAAAAAAAGAAGAAGAGGAAAAAAGAGATACAAGGAACAAAAATAGGGATGACTTGAAGTTCCAATTTGATGCTGCAAGTCCAACCAGGCTTTGCAAAATATCCAAATGAGTCCTAAGTTCACATGGCTCTAGTATCAAAATAAGTTTGAGAATAGCAATAGAGTCTGGTGAGTAAATGAGGGATTAGATATCCAGTATACAGAAAATTGTGGGATCATAATTACTAGAACACTATATAGACAAATCACATAAAGAAATAATTGAAAAGCTAAATACACTTGAAGCAGTACAACAATATAACATAAATTGGTCCAACATACCCTCCAAGACACCAATCATTTACTTTATCAACATATTATAGCGATTTAAATTCAAGCAAATGCACATTCGTCAAAATAAGATCTAAAGGACAGCCCTTAGAATATACAGTTTTTTTTTTTTGATATGATAATATACAGTTTGTTTCAACAGTAAAAATAAACAATTGGAGAGATTTAACAACCCATTGCATTTCAAATGGATTGATAAGGACATTGTACACATGAATATACAAAACAGTCTCAGCAAACCTGTGGAACTATGTGCAGCATTGCCCAATCAGGGCCGAATTCTTCAGCAAGCCTCTTCAAGTTATTTGCCGCAGCCTCACGGATTGAGAAAACCTACAATGAATTATTTGGATTGTATACATAATAACTCAGTATAAGATATATGTAACAACACTAATAACAGCAACATAGAATTACTTAACAAAACAAATGGCTAACCAAAATGAAACTTTCCCCAACTAATGCTACTTGAAGTAGGTAACAAATAGTGAAATTCACTATTGTTTCTTTTAGATACACATACTATTATTTTTTTGCTGCCCTGCCACACATACTACTATTAAATTCACTATTAAATTCACAAAAATACACAAATAGTGAATTCACAAAAATACATATACTACTATTACATTCACAAAAATACTACTATTAAATTCACAAAAATACACATACTACTATTAAATTCACTACTATTTTTTTGCTGCCCTGCCACACATACTTGAAGTAGATGAGCTATTGTCATATTATAAGTAATTCCAACATATCCTCTGCATTCTACTTGCATCAAAACATGGTGCAGTTATAAATAAAGCAAAAGATGCACATTTATCAAAAATTCACTATTTGTTGAAATTCACTATTAAATTCACAAAAATACTACTATTAAATTCACAAAAATACACGTACTACTATTAAATTCACTATTATTTTTTTGCTGCCCTGCCACACATACTTGAAGTAGATGAGCTATTGTCATATTATAAGTAATTCCAACATATCCTCTGCATGCTACTTGCATCAAACATGGTGCAGTTATAAATAAAGCAAAAGATGCACATTGATCAAATAATAACATATCTTTTTGCACAAAGAGATGATGTTTTCAACTAGTCCAATCCACTGCCTTCAAATTATATGTACTTCAAAAAATCTTATCTTATATGGACTATCATTTGCATGATTTTCACAAGCATGATAGAACACGATTACATTTTTTTTTTACAGGGCAATCAATTGGGTATGCTCTTCTATGTGTAAATTTTCAGCTCATAAATACCATTTTTTATCATAATTTCATTTCTACTTCCCTTTTCACTATTCATCTTCTGTAGTTTTGTTTTATTAAGAATCTTAACATCTCTGTCTTTGGCATATCTTATGCTAGCGATAAGCTTTTTGATTTACAGTATAACTTTATGCATTTTTTGGACAGCGGAAGTAAGAGACCAATATGCTTGTTAATCTATGTAAGCACATAAATGTGTGTGGATATATGCGTGGGCGAATATGCCTACATATAATTCATCTATACATATCTGCAAGAACATGTTTGTTTGCCCATGCATGCATATTGCATATACATTTGCTTGCATATATGTCTGGGAGTTTGGGTCAAAGCGTTTGTAAATATGTAGTTTTAAATTTGTGATGGAAAACAAAACCATCACCTGATCTTGCAACCACTGCATGCAAAGAGCTCCAAGCTTGTCATCAAAGAATCCCACACCCAACTGGCTTGCTAATAATGGGATGTACTCAATTATTGCAAGGCGAACTCTCCAATGCCGATCCTCTGCAAGTTCAACAATGGCTGGCAAGAGAGATTGGGACAGGAGATCAATTCCAATCACCTGCATTGAGAAGAAGAACGAATTTGAATATCACAAATAAACGCATATTGATTTAAAATATCTGAAGTACATTGGTAAGGCAATATGGTTATCCTTTCATTCAGGGTCTTAAAACCCAGAGTCACTCCAGGAACAGCTAAGTGCCCATGGCTAGTTGGCTTGCCAATTCCTGAGTTGCTGAGTGAACCTTGACTGGATCCCCGAAAAAGGTAAATGAAAGGGAAAAATAAGATACCAGGGGAAATATCAGGGAGAAAAGATAATAAGATGGTAAAACATATATATATATATATATATATATATAACACTGTCTCTAACTCTCCCCTTGGACATAACCCTACTCGTATGGGCTTAACAAAACTAAAAACATCAAATACCAAATCTCACAAGTCCAAAATTTTTGGCTTTTTCTATTGGCAACTCCCAGGCCTGGATCTCAAAGAGGGTGAGAAATTAGTGTTACTATTTTTAACCCTTTCAACCCCTGGCTGACCACCAGAATGTAAAGCATAATTTTCACTTTTTCGCCAGCAAAAAACTGTCCTGAAAGTGTTAAGACTCACCCATGTCCCTGATTACTCGGGTAAGAATGTCAAGGACTTAGGTGAGTTCAACATGAAACTGCTCGAGCCACTTCCATAGAATGAGAGTGAGTGTCCTAACTATGAGGGCCTGTTTGATAACTGGAAGGTAAATGCTCCCTGGAAATTGGACGTTCCTCTTTGCCGGGAAGAGAGAAGTTATTAAAGTCATGTTTATTTAAAGAAGTTCTAGGTACCTGTGTTTGACAACATGTTGAAATATAAAGTCAAATATTATATATTAAATATTATTTTTATAGTAGACATAAAACATTACATATAATATCTATTGTATTGTAAATATCTTTTACATACATAAAATATATTATACAACAAAATATATTATATTTCATATTATGTAATATATTATATTATATTAAATATATATATATATATATATAAATAATATAAAATAAATATATGGTAATAATTGAAATATGGTATTTAGAACACACTATAATATATAATGTAGTGTATTCTATATTTAATTTTAATAGATATAATAAAATATCACACTATAATATATAATGTAGAGTACATTAATTTTAATATATATAATAAAATATCTTATATTACATAAATATATATTATATATAACATAATAGTGTACTTTATATTTATTTTATTATATAATATATAATAAAATACATTATATTTATGTATATAATACAAATATATTAATAATTTATTTATAGATATAATATATATAACATAATATAATATATTATATATTGTATCTTATATTTATTCTATTAATATATATTTGTATTGCATATAATATTATAAATATCTATTATATAAATAAAATATAGTATATAATATAATTTATTATATATTATAGAATAAAATATAAAGTATTTTACTAATATTTGTTTTTATTATATAATATATAAAAAATAATATTATATGATATAATATAATACAAATACAAATATAAATTAACAACATAAATAAAATATAAGAAGGGAGGCAGAATAGGGTTTGAGGAACCAAGTTCCAATTTTGAGTTCCATCATTTTAGATGGAACTTTTTTTTCTTAGGCACAAGGGAATAAGGAAGTTCTAGGTGGAAGTTCTTTACTGTATAAGTTCCATGTATCAAACACGGAACTTGTACAGTAATGGGGAAGTTCCTTCTTCCTCTTCTAACTTTCTGCTATCAAACACGCCCTGAGAGATGGGAACCCCCCCCCTCTCACCGAGAGGTTTGAGAGAGTATTGTAGTGAGGATACTTCTACATGGAAACTTTTTATGTTACCGTCATTTCTTGTAGATACACTTTGTACTTATTTCTCATATTAACACAATGGATGGGTACCTGATCAAAACCCCTAGCTAACTTAGCAGTGGATTTGTTCATAGCAGGCCCCTCGGAAGCTGGAGGCCCTCTAGGACCAGCACCCTACTGGTTCCATGACTCGGGTGAGTCTGATTCCCACATGCCAATTTTCCAAGACCTTGCTTTCATGTCTCAAAATACCTTCAAAGGCAATACTGAGGTCCTGGCACAAAAATAGCTTTGACATACTAAGCTTGACATACCAAGTTAAAATATGAGAAGTGAATAATCACATTATATACATTACAGAAAGGTGATCATCGACCCTCCCCCAACTAGGATTAAAAAGCAAGGAAAAATAATGTAATGGCATCCATCATATTACTTCCAAACAGAAAAAGAACCAAAGATCACCATCATTTTTATTTCTTCATGCGCAGTATCATCCTACTCAGTTGTTCCCCACGAGCATGAACAAACCTTTACTTAGTGATACTTCCAGAGATATCGGGATCTGAGATAGATCAAATCTATGCGGCTGTAACAAATCCCTCTTACCGACATGTTACAAGATGCGTACACCGACAGCCTACATCCCTCCTCCCAGCCAATCCTGAGTTGTTTTCTAATACAGCAACCAACTGGGAAACCTAAAACTGAAAGAAAAAGGTGAATAGCCCCTTTGGAACATGCAGGCACCCTAGAACAGGCCATAACAAGTCCGAGAAAAAAAGAAACCACCAAAATTTCACCCAAAGATTTTGAGACCAATGGATTTCCCCATTATCCATGATGCTGCCTCTGCCGCCACAACCCATCATCTGGGGCTAGGTCTTGGCTATGCCTGCTCAGGCAATCCCTATCTCAACATCATCATAAGGTTCACCCCAACATTCATTGCTGTTCATCTCATCCTGGGTCATTATAGTTTTATTGACAGATGTGGGGATATAGACCCACAGCCAAGGCCCATAGCTCCAATGACAGGCTATAATATACGTCCAAAGAATGGCCATTAAGTATATGCATGACTGTTGAAGTCATAACACTCAATACACTTGTTTAAGAAGATAAGCATGCATCCCCATAAAGTCATGTCTTCCAAATAAAATTTTGCATTAAAATATTCTTATTTATTGTTACTTTGTATGATTCATGTCCATGATCCATGCCATCAGTCAGCTATCAGTCAATTCGACATAAGTGACAAGTCAACTAAATATGCATCTATTCAATTATAGTCCCAACCACAGCGCTACTATTAGCCAAACCAAAACTGCACATGATGTTTGATGAATACTAGAGGAATAAGCAAAGAATATGAATAAAAGATGAAACTTGTCTTCAATATCTTTAGCTGGATTGTATAAAGACTTTTCTTTTCTTTTTTTTATAATTAGACTCAAACATATAAAGATCAAATTTCAAAGATATACAAAACCTGAACTTGGAATATATAAGGAGCAGAGAAGAAAAAAGGGATCCATTCAAATCTAACCTGGTTTACTTGATCAAGCTTGCTAATAATATTGAGACGAACATCAGGAAATTCATCCTTTAGAAGGGATAGAAAGATTGGAAGAAGTTGATCAATTGTTGCATCCTGAATAAATCACCATCAAGAAGTCACCATGCGTAAAGGGAAAATTAGGTAGGAATTCAGGGATAAAAATAAGTCAAAAGTAAAAATTACCTATAGAATAAAAATTCTTAATGGACACCATCAAATCACCACTAACAAAAGTTTCTAGTTCCATATGCCAATGTTCCTTTAAAATCCAAATATTAAATAACATTATCCATACAAATATCAGAACAGAAGAGAGTCTGAAATCACAAATAGCAAAAGAAAAGCATATCCAATCTATGGGTATCAAAGCCAGAGAAATCACTACTTCAAAATGAAATAATTAACACTAGATGCACCAAAAACAGCACTTTCCAAAATATGGATAAATAGAATGTGGTTAAAACAAGCTATTGAAATCATCAATAGGAGGTTAAATATAAATCCCACAATAGTACCACATAATACTGTATTAGCAGATCAACTTTGATTTGAATACAGATGTAAGTTTACAAAGTCAGGAAAAACATGTCAGAGGTCGTCAATACCAGGCAGAGGGTTTCAGTGCCCTTTTTCTTTTTCCTCAGGAACTAATGCTGGTATTCATGCCATGGTAGATATTTGGAGACTTGCAATAGTAGCTTGGATAATTTCCTTGATGTAGATAGGTTGAATCAGCAAATAAATCTCTCTTTTTCAAATATCAGAACCTCAGTACCTTGATGTCTTAGTGACTACCTACTGAAGGTCAAGGTCAAGGTCAACATGATATTCTGATGGGGAAGGCAGGTGGTTTAGGTAGTACTGACAAAAGACATACATAGAAGAATCATTATCTAAGGTAGAAGAAGCCGTAAAGAGATTTTGCTATTGGTATGAAATTTTTAAAGCTCAAAGGGATCATTTTACAAGGATGTGAGTTTCCAGAGGTATGAAACATTATGCTATTGCCATCAAGAAAATCTCATATTCAAAGCCTGATTTTCAGGCCAATGACAAAAGAGACTCCTCTTGATCTCATATCCAGCCCATGATTTCCTGGCACAACAAACAAGATACAATTTTGAAGTCCATCACACAAGTTCAGTATCATGCTTTACAAGTACATGCAGATAGCATAGCATGCAAGAATTTTATTAGATATGGTTGATTATCATATATTCCATAGAAGCTTCTTGACAAAGTTTCAGACTTCTGAAAGTTCCGCCGATTGACCCTGCAGTGGATTACTCAGCAACTGACAAGATAAACATTTAAGGACTTAGTGAACAACTTTCGGCTTATTCTATTTGCAGGGAGATAGATAAATAGATAGATCGATATATGTGCGTGCGTGCGTGCGTGCGTGCGTGCGTGCGTGTGTGTGTGTGTGTGTGTGTAGAGAGAGAGAGTTGTAATTTTGTCACATATCTTGTAGAACCATTCATGGATTGGATGATCTTTGTGTTTTTAGCTTCCAAGGTATTTCTGTAACTTATCTATATGTAATCATCCTGATTACTGTTGCTGGGGACTTCTTCTCAATTTTTAACCAAATCTCCCAATGAATTCAGCATCATTAAGTTAATGTTGGACTTTAATGTTACAATTCTTGGAAACCAACAAATAAGCCAAAAAGCCTAACATTGGACAATGAAGCACTCAAATACCAGTTGCAATACATTTGCTACTTCTGTTAGTCATATCAAAAGACAAAAGTCTGTTTTGCTACATCTGTTAGTCATATCAAAAGACAAATGTCTTACACTTATACATGCACACTTACTCAAGATTCTTCATGCATTACCTCAATACTTACAAACAATGTTCGAAAATTCGGCTGCCCGACTGCCTAGGCAAAAAAATTTAAAAAATGCCTACGCACAGTCTGGGAGGGGTCATTATGCGCCCTATCTCTTGGTGCCTACCCAAGCGGTCAAGGGCCACCTAGGCGCTATTGTCTGGGCGCCCACCTAGGCGCCACCCCATGACAACTTGCGGGCAGGCAAAAAAAAAACCCTTAGTGCGGGTAAAACTAAAACATGCAAGTTTTCCCCCTAAAAAGGGGGGAAGAGGGTTTGAGGGGATATTCTAAACCCCCAATAGAAAATCTGTGGCCTTTAGGGCGAGAAAAACCCCCCAAAAACCACTCTTTTGTGATTTATCGAAAGATCGATGAATTTATTTTTTTTCAATTTCTTCCCAAAACAAATGCAATAGTTAGTGGGTCAATTTGCAGCTTCTAGTAGTTGATTTTGAGAACTTTTGGCGACCCAATAGACAAGGTTTGCACCGACATCGATTTGATTTTGATATTTTTAAAGTATTATCATATTTGAAAGAAGGTTTTGATTTTATTTTGCTACAACATATTATGTTATGAATCATGTGTTTTTTCTTTTACTTCTTTTTTTTACGATATATTTATGTATTTGTAATTAAAAGATTGATTTTTTTGGTGATTGATTGAATTCTTTTCTTATTTGGACGATGAAATTTAGCACATATCGTATTCTTTTATGATCAGCTGATTCCTTTTTTGTACAAAGTGTCTTACTTTGTTATTCTATTTTTTTGTTTTAGTTTATTTGATAAATGATTGATTATGTGATATCTCAGTGGGTTAAGTCTTATGTGAAAGTGAAACTAAGGTCTTAAAATGTCTTATATATTAAGTTATTCATTTAAATCTCATGTGGTTGTACTCATTGTAGTATTGTTTTGTTGTACTATTATGTTTTCGTCTATTTCATGATCATGAGGAGTTTGGGGCTCTAAAATTGCCCTAAAAACTCCCTAAGGCTTTAAACCATGCCCAAAGAATTCCCCTGTTTTTTATGTTTGGGTTGGGGGGTGGGGGGTGGGGGATGGGGGATTTAATTTTGGTGAGGGCACCCTGTCTCTAGGCGCCCGCCTAGGCGGCCAGGCACCCAAACCACCTTGGTGCCCGAATACATCTTTTTGAACATTGCTTACAAAGCACACTCAGTAATGACTCAAGCATGGCAACAGAACAATACCATTCAGTAAGACACCAGAAATTTACAAATTTAGACAAAGAATAAAAGAATGATATTTAGAAATGTATGTAACTGTCTAATGCATTGTACCTTTCCTAAAACAGGTGCCATTCCCATTATTACAGAAGCCAAGGCAGAACGAACATGTTGCGAAGAATCTGAGGATAGTTCCTGCAAAAAATTAAGGTTGTAATTTGTTAGGCACAAAGTGATGACATCAACTATTTGGGGAGACTAGCTGATCATTTGTATGCAACAATATGTGACATAATAAAGTGGGTAACACTAAGAAGCAACCTGAAAAATCACACATGAATGGGGAATAAGTAGGGAGAAGAATATAATAAGAATATAATACACCATGGGAAAACCACAATCGATTGGGTCATCACCGTCCCTGAAATGGACAATTATGAAAAGAGTAGCAACCACCAGAACAGGACATGACTCCAATCATGGGTAACGCCATCCATCATTTCATTCGACAGAGATGAACCCAACGGACTATAACTTTTCCATTATCAGTTAGATTATAATAGCTTCGCAATATGGAGTGGATTAACCGTACAGTTGAGGTGTCCCAACCTTTACACAAGGGAGAATGTGCTGAATAGCAAGCTGTGGATTCAATATCCGGCAAAATTTGGTCACTTTTCCTGCAGCTGCAATGCGAACTTCTGCCTCATTGTCTCGCAATAATCGAACATATGCAGGCACTAGGTCAGACCTTCAACAACAAAAAAACCCTAATAAGCGCTCCTCAACTAAATCATTCAGTAATATGCAGTTATGCACCAAGTTCCAAATCACTAATCTAGAGAAGAACAACCACATGTACTCATATTTGATTGGGTAGCCAAAAAATCTGTATAATATAAGAATAAAAACATGAACATAACAAAGCCAAATTTTGTATGACATAAAAAGAAAAACATGGTCAAATTTAGCCCTAGGTCCGAGATCACAAGAAAAAGTACCTGGTAGGCTCAGGGCCAACAGCTTCACAAAGTTCGTATAATTGATTCGCAACCATGTAACGAACACGCCAAGATTTATCCTGTTCATGGAGAACATGTATCTAGAACTTTAACATAATTCATAATGAGATTTTCCACATTTACTTCTTTGTAGTCATAAAAAGTAAGAAAATTAGATGTTGTTTTCATCACTGATGATTCTAAAAGCAAAGTTTCATCATAGAAACATCATACACATTAACAACAAACCTCATGTTAGATTTTCCACAGAAAAGGCACTATCATACATCATGTTAGGATGTGCTATCAGCAATCAATCACCCATGACATAACTTCAAACATAATAAAAATCACCAATGAATCATATATTACATAAAACGCCTCAAAACAAAATCCTTTCCTATTTCATATTTCTCCAACAGAAACGATCTTCCATATACAAGGTCACAAATTTAGATCTCATTGTTTAGTTTGAATGCATAATCAAAGTCAACCTACATTACATTTTCTAAATAAATAATCATTAATGACATTTAAAACTAGGTGAATCTAAATCCTTGTTGGATCACAGACATCCATTTAATGTCACTACCAACACAATCAGAACAAATCAATTGCAAACAATAAGAACTAATTTATATCACTAAGGTTCCCTATCTTTCCTTTATTAGAAGCTTGTGTTTTAACACTAGTGATTCACAAAACATACACATATTTCATTTCAAAGGAGGTCCAACTTGAAAAATATTGATAATCACTAAAATAATAAAATAGTGGTTGATAAGAAGAAAACAGAAAGGAGAATATTTCAAATGGACCCCTCAAATTTTTAATTTTATTAATAATCTATCCTTTATTTTTTCTATCGTGCGGCATTAATTTTTATAAACATGCATCATCCCACCCCCTCCTCATCTCACCTCTTCCTTCTTTATTTTTACCTCACTAACTGCCCAAAGAATTGTTTTTACCGCAATAACTCCCCCTCCTCATCTCTTGCTTTTTGAGGGGGCTTGGGAAAAAAATTGCACACTTTGTTTGGGTTAGTTATTGGGGTAAAAATAACAAAGGGGAGGGAAGTGAGGCGGGGGTGGGATGGTATATGCTTATGAAAATTAATGCCACGGATAGGAACAATAAGAGAGTGCTTATTATGAAATTGATTTATTTTTATTTTTTTTGAGGGATTTGTACGAATTTTTCCCTACAAAAATGCATTACAGAGTAATGTATCCTAAGTCATATAGTCATTGCCCATCTAAAATTCACAAGGCTCCAGAATTTATGTCTCAAAGTAAGAAATAGGAATCAGTGCATCATCAAACGAAGAGTTTTTAAATTGCAATCTCCACAGATATTGTCAACACATGGATAATATAAAACAAACCTAATGAAGCTCGAGAGTATCACGAGAAAATAAAAGAGAAGTTATGTTTCTCTTTACTGGGTCACATTCAAGAATATCAACAATGCATCTATCTAGAGAGTTTTTGTTTTCCTTCTTGAAAAATATAATGTTCAACCTATTGTTCGACCTTTAAAGAGTATTCAAAAAGCTTCACTAGTGGCACTTAAATTTATCATGGAAAGGCTTTCCAATGGAATGACTGATGGAATGAACATGACTAAAAGTCTAAAACAACAATCCAGTAGCAGTTGTGACAGGAATATTAAATGCCATAAGACTTCTCCGACTATGAATTTTTATAACTAGTAAGCATCAGACTCAAACCTGCAATGCCGGGTGCAAGAATATTAGCTAGAAGATCCATGGCGACAGAATAGAAAAACTGGAATTATCTCCCAATCTCTTCCCTAGTTATCTCTTTATGAAATAAGTCTTCAAAAATATTTATGAACAACTGAGAATGACATTTGAAGTGAAAACTAATAATAGCAAAGAAGAAGAAGAAGAAAACTGCCAATTCAACAGTCATATATTTCATGCTACTGCAAAGAAGATTGCTCAACTTCAGAATATATAAATCATATTGTCTACATATGCAATAAATGCATTCATTAAATAAAGAAAACAACATGAGGAAAGCCAATCTGAAACCGTGAAAAAAAAAAAAAGCATCTTCCAAGAAGTAGACAGATTCCACAAAAGAGAGCACAAAAGCAATAAAAAGATAACATCTTAATATTCCCTTACCTGAGAGAAATTAACAATGACAGGTAAGATATGTGCTGCACAATCCTGTGGTTCCAACAATTTTCCAAGAGCAGCACAACCCTCAACAGCCAACAAACGAACAGAATCCTGATCTGGAATTACAAAACCATAGTATCTCAAATCCAAGTTTTATTTTCTTGCTAAATCGACCTAAGGTCCTATTAACACCAAAGAGAACAATAAAGAAACAAATTGAGAATTGAAAGAGAGAGGCATATAACATAAGTAAAGACTAAAGTAACATATCAGAGAATGAAAAACAGAGGAAACTTCACAAGAAAGGGTACCAATATAATCCTCTAACATGGTAATATATCAAGTGCTAGTCTGGAGGTGCAATGAATACAAAATTTCCAGTATGCCCACTGAATCAAAATTACAAAAAAGGAAGTTCTTTTTTCCTTCCAAACCATGTTAATATCAATGTCTTCAACAGATGGCCATTGTTTATCTCTGGAAAAAAAAAGTTAGTTGGGTATCAGAAGACAATGGAATGGATCAGAAAATCCTCTTTGATCGTTACTAATTTATTCAAACTAGGACTCTAATAAGTTCCCACCCAAGGGAAGGCAGAGTTGAGTCTATCTTTTCATTTAGGAACGAAGAATGAGAAAGCATGGCAATGCCCAATATCTTTAGGACTTGAATTATGGACATTGTATGAGTAAAGCCACTTTCATCAAATTATCAGAAGAGAAATGACATGCATAGGAGAACAGAAAGGGGATAAAAGAGAATTACTTTTGCGGTACAGGTACCAGAAAATATTCCTCGCGCTAAATCCATTTTCAACATGCAGCTAAATAAATAAGTCTGAGGAAGAATTTATTCAACAAGAATTTATTCAACAATGGATGTATCTCAATCAGTCTCTGGAACACAGTTCAAAAAAAGCTATACACTGCCCTTTGTCAAACAAAGTTCAGCCATTATGTCCATACCATCATGTGTGAGATCCTCAAAAATTGACATGATGTCTGTCTTCAGATAATTTGGTTCAACTGTAGCAGCAAATTTTCCCAGGTTGGATGCAGCAGATCTTCTAACCATAGGCATATCATCTTGACACAACTGGCTGTATATGGATCTTAGTTCTGCCTTCAACATTTCTGGTGCACTTGGGTAAGCAATGTGGAACAGACCACATGACGAAACTCGTGCAGTAAACCATTCACCGGATGCGAGTCTCTGAAAATAAAAAAGGAAATGATTCAAGTAAGAGAACAGCATCTACGAAATTGTACCAGTAGCCAAACAGCATGACCAAAATAATTAAAGAAGAAATGCAATGCAAATAAAATGTGGCATTCATAGAGATAAGTTCAATGCTTCACTAAAGTATCAACAGTTCAAATATTTTAAGTTTAAACATTCCCGTGTTAGTGACACAAAAGGACAAAATAGAAAAATATCTTACCTTAACCAGAGGGATAAACCAGTCCACCAAATCACTTTCCTTCATCTGAGCCCCAATTCGACATAATGACTCCACAGCTTTGTCCCTCACACAAGTTTCCTCCACAGTACAAAGTGTCTCCAATGGTGGCAACAACACATGGGCATGTTCCACCCCACCAACATAAGGGATAAACACACCCAATTCCTCCGCCATTGCAAGAAGAACCTCATCATCGTCATCATTGTTCTCGCTAAGGAAAGGGATTAGTTCCTTCCTGGTTCTCTCTTCACCAAGAGCCCGTGCAATTGTTGAGAGCCTACGGATTGAATTCAGTCGCAGCTGAATGTCCTCATTTTTAAGCTCATCAATCAGTATAGCAATTGGATAGAGTGGCTCATCTATCATGGCCATTATATTTTACAAGTTCCTCGAAACTGTGGAAAGAAACAAATTAGTAGCGGTAGCATGCAAAATAAGATGCATGATACATGCAAACGTGATTCTAGATATAAGCTTTGCACCGAATCAGTAAGCATGAACATAAAGATGAATTCCTAATGGTTTGCGTGTGTGCGTGAGCATCTGCAGCACTGGGGAGATAGTAGACGACCACACATTGTAGGCCAAAACAAGTTTGAACAATCCCAATTGTTAGAATCAGTTGTGAGGCACTACCCGTCATTTGAAATACCAATGGAACAAAATAGGGAAACAAGCAGTTCCTTCCATGCTTGGTTTGCAAGTTAAATAAGTGATTGTTCCATGAATATAGCAAATAGGAAGGTAGGGAGTGTGCCCTCTTTTGCTCTAAATTTGGCGGCTCCTGATACACATCCTAACTCATTCAACCAGAATTACAACCCTTCCATCGGCAAACTTCTACTGAAAAAGACACGAACCTTCCTCCAAACTCCAACTGGGAAAAATACCGCCTCCCATTTCTAATTCGACAATAGCCCTGCTCATTGTCCACTACTAAGATAAACCATTTGGGATTTACCAGGTCGCTTCAACAAATTGAAATAAAAATTAATGATTAAAAGGAAAACAGAAAGAAAAATCACATATTTTCCAAAATCAACCAAAATTCTCATAAAAAGTAAAACTAAGCCAATAAATCATTCTCCGACCTCCTCACAAATTTCCAGTTTTCCTTTATCGATTCGAAAAAGAGAAAAAGAATACAGAACTTTTAGCCTATAATAAATGAAAAATGAAATTCTCCCCAAACAACTCACATATTATCGAATGGGCCTGGAAAATTTATTCCAATAACTTTACTTCAAGATACCCACCTCCTACAGTCACTTTTAATCAATTAAAAAATGCCTCGATACCAGAGAATCAGTCAGATCTCTGCTAAATAAAAGGTGGCAAATGCACAAGGAAAAATATGACAAGCAATTATGATGCCAACAAAAATCTAGACAACTACCACAATTGAATGAAATATCCTAAAATGCACAGAACATAACGAGGCATGCACCTTTTTTGACTGCTCAAAACAAAGATTAGAAACCAAACTCACTCTCGCGAGTTAAGAAACCACTAATTGTATGAATAAGAGAAAACCCTGACCACAAAATTCTTCTACATGGAACCCTAAAACCATGACCTCATAAAAATGCCATGAACTGATAAGCTTTCTGCCCTAATTAACACCCGGTTAGCAAACACAACCAGATCAAGGATTGAAGCGATAGATTATAACTCCCAGGAGCTCAAGGATTTCCCCATTAAAAATTCATTTCTAGAGGGAGAAAATATATATTTAGGTTCACTGTAAAGAGCAGCTAACCTCGGGAGAATGAGGAGGCAATCAGGACAAACGCCTAGGGCCACTGGCCGGTTAGAGAGAGAGAGAGGTGGAATTCCAGATCGGAAATGGAGTGGAGCGAAGAGCTCAGTTAACCGACCGCTGATGCTCAGTCATGGGAAGAATCCTCGGCCCCTTTGGTGCGCACGCAGAAAGAGAAATGCGTTATGGGGATTTCCGCAGAGAAAGAGGCCCTCTCCCCAAATCTTCCCTCTCTCTCTCTCGCTCTCTCTCTAAAACAAACGTTTTTTAGAGGGCCCTCGCGCTCTCTCTCTCTCTCTCCTTTTGAGCCTCGCGGATTCCCTCTACACTTTTTCGCCCGCGTCGCCTCGCCCTATTATGAAGCGGCTTACGTGCTTTTGTCACACACACCGCGCTTCTCCGACACTCGCTCCTCCGACGTCCTCAGGTTCTCCATAGTATCCATATGTGATTGACGCCGGAGAGAGAGGGGTTTTGGGTGACGGTGGAGAGGCCAATGGCACGCCGGCCCTCTTTCTCCATTGGGCCATCCTGGCCCCGTCCGGTCCCCAAGACGGTCTAGCCTTGGACGGATGGAGTAAAAAATCAATAAATAAGATAAAATAAAATTAAGGAAAAACTAGAGGTTGTGCCAGACTGTGCTAGATCAGCATTGGCCTTGGCCTGACTCTCGAGCCACAATTTGTGGCCAAGCTCTGCATTTTAGAGCCGGGTCGCCTGGCCTATCTCTCGCCATAGACTTTTTAGTGGGTATCCGAGAACCTAAAATAAAAAAGTCGAAACCCAACAATAGGGTTGAACGCAGTTCAATCGGCCTAATTGGTAAACCGGCCAGTTCAACCGACCTAATCAGGCGGTCAAAAAAGTGTCCAAAAATACAAAAAAAATATTTATATTTAAATTACAAAAAAAATCTTACAAAATATAAAAAAAATATTTAAACCATTATTAAACAAAACACATCCAAATCAAATTAAAAATTAATGAAAAATGGATTTTAAAGAATCGAATTGTGCCCATGAGTATTTTTAAAAATTTTCAAAAGAGATGAAAAATGTAAAAATAAGTATTAATGGCCAAAACATTTTCTGGCAATTGCCAAAATGATGAAAAACATAAAAATAATATAAAAATGCTTCACAAACAAAATCCCTTATTTTTTAAAATTTTATATACTTTTTTAAAAATACCCGATCCATTCACCAAAACTAGCCGAATCCCATCAGGTGGTTAGAATTTGAATTGCCTGAATTTTTCACACTGGTATAGGTAGATATTTGTAAAAATATGTGAAAATATTAGGATTGCTTGATTTTTAGGATAAAGAGGGAGAAGGTGGAAATATGTTTTTGAGGTGCATAGGTTTCTCTCTTCTAATTCTCTCTACCAAATCTATAACCAATCTCTCTAATGAAAGTCCCCTTACTACCTTTTTATTCATGTTATGAGAAATTATATCCTCATGCCTCTCAATCTCGTGCGTGAAATTCTTGTTGGGTTTGTGTGGCTTTTAAAGGCTTTATAAGTGCTTGTCAAATGAAATAATACAGTGGAACATGAACTCAGTGGGTGTGTGGTCCCTCATGGACCATATTAAGCAAATGATGTTTGTTGATAGTAAACTGTACTTGATGATCTAGGCCAGTCGGTTGGAAAAAATGTTACATGGGCATAGAGAACAAACTAATAAGGGTTCTAATGGGTCATCTCTTGATGAGGTCGGAGCATATGCCTGAATGCGTGAGCCGAGAGATTGTGTGACCCTTGTGGTGATGATGGCTTACAGAGACGGGGGCCAAAGCCTCATCCATGTACCATCACACAACATGCATATTCATAGATCGTTCGGGAAAGCAAGTAAGCCACCTTTCAAGGTGAAGTGTATGTATGTACGAGAGAGATACCCCTATGCACCATAAGAACTGTGGTCGCATCAGGTCTAGGTGACCTTGACTCGTCTCTAGAGGAGAACCTGAAATCCATAGACTGGGATTGCGACCCCTTGGCTCATCGACCAGACTTTGGTAACCCGCTTGAACTGTGGGTCATAAGAAACACTGGGTCGGTTTGATAAAGCAAGAATGATATGTAGTTCATAGTTGAAAGTGGAGTGCTCCATGATTGTTGATTTAATTCCTAAACCACATGGATCATTTGCCTATCAAATTAAGTTAGTTGTGTTTATTTTATGATGAAAATTATTTTAGAAATATTATTTGAATTTTTATGAACCCTGGATATTTTATTTATAATTTTTTTATTTATAAAATCAAAGATATTGATTTTGCAATTGTTTAAATATTCAAATAATATTCTAAAATCTTTTTATTAATTTTAAATATATAAAAATATCATGGAGGCACATTGTGCACATGAGCACATAGGCCCACAATATTTATAGAAGGTGGGACCCATGAGTGCCTCCCTTGGGTGGCACGTCCCACCCTTACTCTATTTCCTATTTGTGTGGTGATATGGCATGTGGCCATATGGTTGGTAGATATTGACTAAATATTGACTTGATATATATTTGAAATATTTTGTGGAAAGATTGAGTAGACTTGTGTTATTTTATGGTATGCACAATATTTTGATTATATTTAATTTATTTAATTTATATTGATGGAAAATAGTTAAGAAAAGGAAGATAATGATTCATACACATTCCATAATGTTGATGGCACATCTATGGAATAGATGACTCAAATCTATCACCCCACAAGTCACCTAAGATCAATGGTTCATATTCAATCTCACAAAAAAAGACAAACCAAAGAAAACCCTAATAAACCCTAATCTTGTTCAAAACCTATAAAAAGGATTGTCTCTACCCAAAAATCTTTACACCTTATCTCCTGTATCTAATTCCATATTTCTCTATCATATCCCACTTAGAATTTCTCTCTCTCGTAAGAAAATTTTATCTCTATCATGAGAGCCAAAAAAGGGGCAAGTCCCACTCTCTCATCTTTGATCTCTCTCTCCCACTTCGTGAAAGAACCTATGGGTTTAAGTTGTGGAGTTCTTTTCTCTCTTATCTCTCAATTATGGATTTATAGCTAAGGGTTTTAGGATTTAGCAAAAAGAAAATTCATATCTCTCAAACTAGGTTGCTAAGGGAATTCATTTAGGGTTTGAGTTTGTGATCAAATGGTTCATGTTCTATTGGTGGGGTTTGGCCTAAACTTGCTTTCCAGTAGAGATTGAAGGTTGATCATTGATCGTGCGCCTTCGGATGGTGGTGACTCGCTGTGGGGTGTAATAAGCCAGATTGAGGTAATCTTCGGCACTCTCTTTTTGTTTCTTATCATATTCAATTATATTGTATTTATGTTCCCAAGCATAAGAATTGCATATATTTTATTTGTTTAAAATAAATTAGTTTAATGACATCAAGGTTTTTAAGATCTTGAATTTATTAGTTCTATTTTCTTTGAAGCATGAATTATTGTAATAAGACTACTTGTAAGTGATCTTTGCCAAAAGAAAAGAAAAGAGGTGAAAAGAATAAAAAAATAAATAAAATATTCCCCAGCAATATCGCATTAATCTTTCTTTCATTGGTATCAGAGCTATTGATACTTGATGTCATTAGTTGACTTTTTTCTTTATTGAGTCTAGATCAAGCTTAGGAATGAGATATAAGAAAGTTAATGACCGTTGTGGTCAAGTAATGCACACCGGTTAAAGAATTATTGAAATATTCAAACACTGAAAAAACACACAGCATAATGGGTATTCTAGGCTATTTTGGATCAATGATATGAAGAAGATAATGATATATTTTTTTATTGCATACTTCAGTGATATTATGTGTATTTGATATTATGATCTACTTACAAAATTTCAGTAGGAGATCCTAAGGGAATTAAGAGTTATGAAATCATCAATGAAAGGTGTCAGTTTTGACCCTAAAAAATCTATGAACTGTCAATTGAGTTATGTGATTTTTCTCACCAATCACATGATATTATTTATTGCTGAAATTTTACTATGTCTCACAAAATTGAGTCTACTTTCAAGCAAAAAAAGTTTCATCAATAAATTCCATATAGTTTGAAATATATGATCAATTTGTTGAAGAGTGCGAAAGTATTGTTTTCTTCAACGAAAACTATTTCCATGATTTGGAAGTCATGATTTTAATTATATTCATGACTCACACCAAGTTTTTAGACTTCCATTATGAGTTTAGTTTCTAATAAAATTTATTTGAGAGATAAATATCTATGAGAAAAGAAGAATAAAAATTTTGGATTGAAGAGAGGTCAACCTGAATTTTCTACAATTTAGTCATGCTTTATTTTGGATAAAATTATAAGATGGTATTTATGATTTGTTTTTGTTGCCATGAATTTGACTGGGTAGGAAATTAAAAGTGAATACGGTAAAATGATTTCTGAAGGCTAAATATGTATTTTAAATTAAAGTTGGATGATTTAAGAAGAACCTAAGTCTATAAATATGATTTTGAGGAAACCATATAGTCTTGCTAGATCCACTAAGTCTTTATAAAAATTATTTTACACTGTTATGCTACCTCATGTTATATTGCATAAGACTTATTATGCTACCTCATGTTATATGCATAAGACTTGTTATGCTACCTCATGTTATATTGCATAAGAATGTTAATAATGTATATGTTGTATGTGAAATAATTGAGTGGGAACTGCTACAGTCCCATGTTTCTTTTAGCTGCTTGGGTACTCAACTATACAAGTATATGCTATCTAACGGATCCTAATAATGCAAAGTCTACATATGAATATGTTTTTATGCTTGGAAGAGGTACAGATTATTGGATATCAAATAAGCATAATGTGGTGGAATTATCCACTATGAAGGCAAAGTACGTGGCGTGCTGTTTGGCGGCCAAGGAGGTCGTATGGATTAAGAAATTTATTAATCCACTTGACTTTAAGCCCTTGCGTTATGAGGTAGTGAGGATTTTATGTGACAACACGGTAGTGATATGCATGTCAAAGGAGCTACGATTCCATAATAACTTAAAGCATATGAAACAATGTTTTTATCACCTGATGAATGAGGTGAGATTGAGAAAGATCGAGATCCAGATAAACTAAATATTTCAGTGGGAGCATCTGCTAGTATTTGACTGGTCAGATGGAACAACAAACTATAATGTTGTTCACCCATGGAACCCAGATGTGCAATGTTGATTGTATGACTACAAAAGGGAGCAGCTTATTTGAAGAACTCTTTTGAGCCCATGAACATATGACCCCATGCGATGAGGGTACATTATAGTCTTTTGCGATAACATGTCCATGATTTGCGATGCGATGTGAAAGATAGGCTACGACCACTATCGGGATATGATCCGAGCAGCAAAGAGAAAAATGTGTTGCCTTTATAAATTCTTTTGTGAAATAATTAATGGAAAAATCCATGATTAATATATTGAGAGATGATTAGTAAAAAATACTTGAGAGAGAGATTGTAATTAGGAGAGAGAGATGGGGATGAGAGAAAGTGAGGAAGAGAGAATGTAAGACGTTCAAAGGCCAAGTGGGAGATGTTG